CTTCGTTTTACCAATATTTTTTTTGTTTGCCGTCATTGTTTGTCTACTTTTCGTGTCGTGTATTTTACCGTTGCCATGAGTAGTGCCTCTCTAGAAAGCGTTTGATTGACAGAAATTAAAAACAAAACGAATAAAGAAGAGAGGAAAAAGAAAAGTAAGTGAAGCCTGTTTATGTTGCACAAGTAGCAGAAGAGTCATTCGACAAAGAAACGACGCATTTTGCATATTCAACATTCAACCAAGTTGGAGACTATTGCTATTGAAATTTTTTGAAAAAATTTATTTCGATTATTGCATCCTGGTAAGTAAGTTACGACCATGGTTTCTAAGCAGATCTTCGAGTTTTGTAAACGTCATCAGTATAACGGAAGTATGACTAGAATATTCATTACAAAGAATCGAGACAGAAATGAAATAGATGTTCATCACGAAATTTCGTTTATCTGATCAATTGATGATTTTTCCTTAGTCAGAAGTGTATCGAGTGTATTTACCTGTATGAATCGCACACAATTTTATTGATTTAATGGTTCTTTCTTGCAGAATTTGTCCACATTTTACATAGTTAGTTTTCTACGTGTATGTCCTATTCTATTTATGATCTTTTCGTGACTTTCGATATTGAGATCGAACTATCGAAATAATGTCACTGTTTATTTCATAAGATAAGGCCTAAAGACGATACTTTCAAGTTTCGCAAGTTTACCTATCGAGAAGAATGAGTGGATCGTTAACAACGAGTGTGAAACCTTTGTGTAACATAAAAATGCTTAGCAGCAGGGTTGCCAGATTGTCTGAAAAGTCAGGACAGTGTCTGAAATTTGGATGCCTTTCTGATTTCCTTCTGACAGTCTGATTTTTTCTGATTTTAGTACTCTCGTCTGATTTTTCCTGTTTTTGATAATTTTCCCTGCTTTTCTCCTGAATTCTGAACGTTTCTAAATCATATCACAGCTTTTTTAGCGAAATTAAATCTTATCATAATTATTCGTGTGAACAATTTTATAAATATCTTTTAACTCAAACACATTTGTTAAAGCAAATTCGAAAAAATGGAAAATATGAACAATAATATCGAATCTATGTTACATAATCATCAGTTTTTTCTTTCATAGGATCTTATAACTTATATCGTATATATGTGATTTGTTTTTGTACTTTTTTGTGAACAAATTTTGAGTTTAGCGAAAGAGTCCGGCACTACGTGTCTTCATTAGTTTTTCCTTGTTAGCTAAACAGTATATTGATTGTAATATGCTTTTTTATAGCGAAATATCTTTGAAAATAAAGTATGAATTAATGAACAGCGATTCAATAGAGTATCTTGTACCAACATGATACCATAATAACCACTAGGTTTTTCAAAAACTGACTTTTCTGATTAATTTCTGATTTTGCAAAAAAAAATTCCGATTTTTGAGTTTTCGATCTGGCAACCCTGCTTAGCAGTGAAACCAAAAACCTTTTCAGGGTTGGCATGGATGTGTGGGTGTAGGTGTAAGGTGTGGTGAAAATAAGAGCCACATCCACTCACCCTCTCCACACACCCATACTCACACCTATACCCTCAATATAGTCACACCCAAATACCCATATTTAATAAACCAAACTCAAACATCCAATCCCACCTATCGATGTACCGAGTACAAGTACCTCTGGTTCGGTTAGACTCGTTTAGGCCCTGACTAGAGCCCGTCGGGTAGGACCCGGACCCGACCGGGGCCGGTTCCAAAAACTTAATTTTAATGGGGTCCTGGTCTGGATATTTTCTATAAAGCGGGTCCGGGCCGGGTCCGAGTTCAAAGTAATTTTTGGTGCATATGAGAATATTTTGCGAAGTTTTACTGATCTTCAGTTTTCTCTGAAGAGCTAGTTGCTTTTGGTTGTTAGTGTTCAAAATAAATTGTTTGTGTTCAGTAGAACACATTCCTTTGGCCTCAGATACAGACAAGATCTAGTCGGGGTAGAATCCGGGTCCAAAAATTTTCTCTTTACTGGGTCCGGGTCCGGGTAGAAAAAATTTCTGTTTACCGGGTCCGGTTCCGGTTCTGGAATTTTTTTTAAAAACCGGGTACGGGTCCAAGAATAGTTCAACAAAGCCAGTCCGGGTCCAAAAATGCTGGCCCCGACGGACTCTAGCCCTGACTGAGGCTAAGTCCGACCAAATCTGACTCTGCCAAAGCCGAGCTCTACCTGCTAGGTCTAGGCTCGGGCTCGGCACATGCCTAATTCCACTCACCACTATACATTTACATTCAATCAGGGTGCGGGTGTGTGGATGTGGATCTGGATGTGATGTTAGGTGGATGGGTGTG